GAGAAGAATTACTTGATTATGTTAGCACTACTCTTTTTTCAATTTTAAATCATTTTAAAATTATAAAAGCCTTTTGGGGGTGTAATTTTTTACAAATACACTCTATGCCTGTATTCCCAGAATTCCACAGACTGCAGTCAAGGTCACCCAAGATAGCATAGTGAGTTCTAAGCTAGGCTGGGCTATGTCCCAAAAAAGTAACAACAACCCCACACACATCTTAAGGTCACTACAGACAATCTGAGGACTGAAACAAGAACTGCAGAAGAGACCCAGCTGAAGGGCAGAAAACATTCCGCTCCACCGTAAATTCCAAAATCCAATGGCACACAGCAACAGGAGCTGATGGTGTCTGTCTGGGTCTCCCTCTCTCTGACTCACTCACAGATCCAGTGAGGTCCTGCCACACACGAGGGACAAATGATTGAACACGCACATACATAAAGAGCACTCAAATCTGCAGGATGAAAGCAAACCAAGAGCCGTTCCTAAACAACTAACTCCTCATTTCCACTAACATCGTAACCAGTCCCCAATGAAGAAAAAGGAAGAATACAGGAGTTGCTCTTACTTTCGTGTGGATGAGACAGAGGTTTAGAATCCTTTCCCCTTTCTTCTCCAGCTCCCAAACTCCAATATCAAATCCTTAGCACCTCAGAACTGAGGGATAAAATGTCTAACAAGTGTAATTATCCTTCATTTTCTAAACTTAGATCCAAAAAAACCACTCAAACCTATGATACTCAAAAACTAAAAAAATATATCCACAAATTCACTACAGTTTATGGATCCACTAGGATTCCCAAAATCATTTCAGGGAGCCAGAAGGCAAAACTGTTCCACAATAGTACTGAGCTACTATTTGCTGTTTTTGCAGCTAACATCTGTATCAATACAAAAGCAAAAGAAACCAAGGTACTGACACCAAACTATGTGTGTGTGTGTGTGTGTGTGTGTGTGTGTGTGTGTGTGTGTACATGCCACAGTGCCACAGTGTGCATGTGAAGGTCAGAGAACAACCTGTAGGAGTTGGTTTTCTTCTTCTACTATGTAGCTCCAGAAGACAGGGGATCAAGCTCAGGTCCTCAGGCTTGGCGGCAAGCACTCTTCCCCCACTCAGCCATCTCATCAACCTGACAGCCTTCTCTTCTAATGAGATGTTAATGAGACTGGTGCCATTAACAAGTACAATTTTTTTATGTTTTGGTTTTTTGAGACAGGGTTTTTGGAACAGTCCTGGCTGTCCTGGAACCCACTCCATAGACCAGGCTGGCCTCGACCTCACTGAGAGATCCACCTGCCTCTGCCTCCCAAGTACTGGAATTAAAGGCGTGCGCCACCACTGCCCAGCAACAAGTGTAATTTTTAATACTGTGCAAGTATTTGGAATATCTATACAATTTAGTGAACCAGTATTTTCCAAATGACCCAAACTTACTTTTACAAAACTACTCAAGGCACAGTCTAGTGAGATGGTTCAGCAGTAAAGAACAAATGCTGCTCTTGCCGAGGACTGGCGTTCCCAGGTCAGGACCAACCTGGTTTCCCCATCTACTATGTCTCAAGTATGTGCTGTCTTCCACAGCAGGGTCTTACCACCAAGTTGTGGAGGGGAACTAAGAGCAATGGTAATAGTCTGTAATACAGGGACTAAAGGACACTGCTGAAGATCAATTCAAAAAGGCAACACATACCTGTCTCTGGGCTTTAATAATACCCAGGGGAAGGATGGTCCTCCCATTATAGGGAACCTCATTTAAACTCCTTTTATGTATGGAAATGTCTATGTTTTAAGAAGCCTCTACAGTAATGTTTCCCTATGGCTTTGTCAAAGGTCATTAGTGCCAGCCATCCCTCCTCATACTCTCTCCTCTATCCGGCCCTGCCATCTCCCACCCCACTGAGCCCCTCCTGTTCCATTATTCCCCTTTCCCCTTCATACCGCCTGCATTCTATCCCACTTCCCTCAAATTCCAAGTCCTGCAATGGGACCTAACTAGTGTTCTGCCTTCCGTGGGTACCCCAATGGATGTTATGGGAGTAACCAGCCACTTTTTGACTGGATTTAAAACCTGTGCTACAAGATGAAACTCATACCTTGTACCAAAAATTGTGCCAAAACCATAGGTCCTAGGGGAGAATCTAATACTGTTATTCTGCTAAATGGATATAGTAATAAACTGCCTCCTCCTAAGTTTTATCTTCCTACCCATAGATTATTACATCTCCCAACCCTCATCAGAGAAGCTTCTTTCTACAATAAAGGGCAATGACTACAAAGACCCACAACTCGTCAAGCAGCCGAGAATAAGGGACTGGAGAGCGTCCACTTGCAAGGGTCGGCTATCTCACACCCTCTCCCCACTAGGTTCGGGGATCACATTGGAAGAGGGGAACAGATCTGTCGCACATTTGAACTTGCGGTAGCTGTCGCTGCTTGCACAAGACCTGCAAAAGATCAACCAGCCCGAATCCCAGCACAGACAGGGGAGGGGCTCGTGAAATGCCACCCGAGCTGAAGAGCTACTGGCAGTTGATGGCTGCTAGGGGAAGGAAAGTAAGATTTCTTCAGGGATGCCAACTTTGGGAGACTGCCGATGCTCCAGCTGATGGTCCTACACCCATGTACATACAAGCAGCACTAAAAGGACTCAGGGCGTTTTTTTTTAAAGAACACATGAAGTAGTAGGGAGAGTGGAGGAAGAAACTAGGTAAGGAATTGTAGGGGAGTGAGAGGAAAGTAGATTTGATCAAAATGCATTAAATGTGTGTATTAAATTCTCAAACAATAACTAGTATTTTTAAATGCAAAAACAAATCCATGTTAGCATCAGTCACATGTGTGATCCCTGAGGATTAAAAACCAGTGTGTATGGCAAACATTCAGGCTTGGCATCTAGCAAACTGAGCATCCTTCAATGTAAAAGTAGACAAGTCACTGTGAAGGAACTAGTTATTCCTAAGACCCATTTGGAACTAATAATGAACTATCTCTTTACATGAAAAAAAAATACGTATAAATGGCAATTCTATCCCTCAGCCAGCCCATATTAAGTACCAAATAGTAATTTATTAACTATTCCTAACTACAGTTTAGAAATATAGGAAAATATATGAGTTGTGAATGTATGTATATGTATTTATATTCTGAGATACAGGCTATGGTCATAGGAAATTTTCTGTCTCATTTCTCATGAGAACAAGGATTTCATGGCAGCCTTGCAGAGGGGCAGTTTTTCAGCAGCAGAATCAGAATTTAAGAACAATGACAAGAAAGATCAATGGTTCCTACCAGGGAATGTGGCATTCCTCCACAAAGTATCATTCACTTCCTAAGTAATGTGAATAAAGCAGGAGAAAGGTTTCCACACTGGCAACTTCTATTCTACAGAGTACTTAATTCTATGGTGCTTACAAGTCAAAGACTACACCACAAGTTAATTTAATGTGCTACAGAAAACATATCTTTAACTTTATCTACTTAAAATTGGGAACACAAAACTAAAAATATAATGTTTAAAGCCAAATTGGCATATTTATGGTTTAAATTATTAACTAACACATGAAGTTACAAATGCTACATTTATTTGGAGCAGAAAAATCTACTGTCAAATTAATTAAGTACTGTTATATACCATGTTGGTAAAGTGTTCTCACCCAACAATTAATATATATACTCCATGCATTTGATTTTATAATATTAAATAAAATATGATTAGAAAATCACTTTAAGAAAAATATATAAGTCCAATGAGAACAGTAGTAATAATTACAGCAATGGTCTATTAGGTGTATGCAATTAACAACTACAATGTTGATATATTTAAATTATTCCATTCAAATCTCAATAATTCTGTAAGTTGGCTATCAATCTACTTTATACATACAGATGCAAAGTTTAATAATTTATTCATTTTATTTTATGAATAAATTTTATTTTATTTTATTTTATGTATGTGACTATGTGTGTATATATATACACTACTTACATGCAGGTACCCAAGGAGGCTAAGAGAGAATGCCAGAACTTTTGGAACTGGAGTTACAGGCAGGTGCTGGGAGCCAAGTTAGGGTCCTCTGTAAGAGCATCAAGTGCGCTGAACCACTGAGCCATCTCTCCAGCCCCTAGTAAGTTTTTACATTCAAAGTTACACAACTCATGAAGAACAAGGTATGCTATCAAGGCCAGGATCTTACTCATTTCACTACATAATGAAAAACCTAGGAACCATACATTTGGGGTCGGGGAGTACAAACCTTGGCCTTAAAAAGAGATTCATAGCCTAATATGTACTCAGCAAATATTTATTAAATTTAAAAAATTTGCCTAACCAAGTCACAGTGTCTAGGGACACATGCCTGAACAATAAAATACAGCTCACCATAAAAATGAAAACAGTGGCTGCTGCTGGGAAAGGAAGCAGTCATACCTGAGTGCTCTTTAAGCTAAACCGGAGTTCTTTCTACTGGTAGTTCCAGTCTATTCTTTAACTAGTACCCTACTACAGAATAAGCTCCATTGCTAAGGAGTTTTGAAGAAATGACTACTTTCACAGAATCAACAAAAATTCTACAACATAACCCTGGAACAACTTGTCATACAATGCTATCAGAGGTGAGTAGTGGCATGTTGAAAGAATTCAGAACGTCTTAAAGAACGTGACAGCATTGGGTTCTCACTGTTCAAAGATGGAACTCTATGAACTTCACTAGCCACAGTAATTGCAGGGAACTAAAATCTAAATATGTTTGACTATGGAAGTTAATGAAATGTTAAAACAAAACCAAAAACACCTAACACTTCAAACACTCAGGGAATAAACTCACTATCTTCAACCTTAGTAAATAAAAATTAAGAAGTAAACATTTATTCTCTTTGTGAGTTTTACTAGCCAATAATCAAATAAATAAATAGAGTATTCTATGGAAGTATCCTTCTTACAAGGAACAATTTAGAATATCCCCATTTTTCAACCCCACAAAGAATTAATGGATCTTACATCAGAAAGTCATCCAACATCACATGCCTCCTCAGGTTTTACAAACAGATCACATCAATTCTAATCAAATCTGGATTCAGCTGGAAATCTTCAGAGCATACAGACAACAGAGATGCATGTTGAATTATATTATCATATATAATCGGCAAAATTCAGTCTGTGGAAAACTGTAGACCCAGAGCTCGGCAGCTAAAATTAAAAGAAAAGGGAGAAAAGCAGAAGAACGTGTAGATTAGGAGTTCAAAAAACACCAAAAGAAAAAAGTAAGACTAAGTCGCAGTGTCTAGGGACACATGCTTGGACAAGAAAAATACAGCTCACCATACAATGCAAGCAGTGACTGCTACTGGGTAAAGGAGCAGTTATGACTGAGAGGGCACATAGGAAGCTTGTGTGGGAGCTGACAAGTTCTGGGTAGTTGTTCTAAATGTGTTCTCTTTTAATACATGATGTAGTAGTATTGTGTTCCCCAAAATATTGTGTACTCTAATAAATTTATCTGGGGTCAGAGAACAGACAGCCACTAGATACAAAGGCTAGAAAATGGTGGCACTCACACCTTTAATCCTAGCATTCCAGAGATAGAAATCCCTCTGGATCTCTGTGAGTTCAAGGCCACATTGGAAATAGCCAAGCATGGAGACACCCACCTTTAATCCCAGAAAGCCAGCCTTTAATCCCAGGGAGTGGAGGTAGAAAGCAGGAAGATATATAAGGTGTGAGGACCAGAAACTAGAAGCTTTTGGCTGGTTAAGCATTTGGCCTGGTTAAGATTCAGGCTTCTAGCAGCAGTAATTCAGCTGAGACCCATTCCGGATGAGGACTCAGAGGCCTCCAGTCTGAGGAACAGGACCAGCTGAGGAACTGGTGAGGTGAGATAGCTGTGGCTTGTTCTGTCTCTCTGATCTACCAGCATGGACCCCAATAACTCGCCTCAGGTTTGATTTTATTAATAAGAACTTTTAAGATTCCTGCTACAACATGAAGTGAATATTCATTTTGTGTTTTCTGTATTCATGCTTTGTTATAATTTAAGAGCCTTTATAAAAACACATACAAATAAAAAAATGTCTCAGTCTAACATTCTTAAAATTCCAGCCCTGTCAGACTCTTGCTTTGTGAACCAACATGTTACCTAATACCTGTATACTTCAGTCCTCACATCTGTAATATAGGGAAAATAACCTCTGTAAGTATGACCATTGTACAGTTTGAATGCTTACAAGTGCCTATTAAACAGCAATATTTCGATAAATGGTAATTATTATCTGTGCAAAACATGAAGCTATAAACTAGGTGGCCTTCAAAAATTTGACACCAAATGGTTATGCCAATTCTTTGAATATTTACAGAGTTACCTTTTAAAGGTACCTAAGTCAGGTATGATGGCACAGGCCTGCAGTCCGAGCACTCAAGAGGCTGGGGCTACTGAGGGCTACTTCAGTCCAGAGAGTCAAGACCAGCTTGGGCAACATAAAAAGACCTGACCCCGAACAAAAAAGTTTCCTGTGTATTAGTCACTTTTCATATAAATCCTTGCAATCGAAAAACATCAGATAGTACTAACGTAAGTTTATTTAGCCAGAAATTACACAAAATGCCTTAAAAGGGAGGCATATATTCAGTTGTGAGCATACATTCAACTGTTTTAAGTTAATATATGGTAAAACGGTCTTTGGGGGAGAAGCAGAAGTGTCCAGTTATAAAACTTTCAAAACGGGTATAAATTTGAGTGAGTATCCTCACGTTGAGGATGCAGACTAGTTCACCCCCACCACCCCCAAACATTCCTGCGCTCCCTCTACTATCACACGCTCACTCAACTCCAAACCTGGGGATCTTAGCCAAGTTTGTGCTACTGTAGCGAGTATCTCGGAGGGTAGTTTATAAAGAACATAAGCATGCTCGTCACCGTTCTGGAGGCTCAGAGGTCCAAGATTAAAATTCAGTGCTTGGGACTGGAGAGACACCTCAGTAGCTAGAAACGCAAGCTCCCCTCGCGGGTTCAATTTCCAACTCCCATGTCTAGTTCCAGGGGTCCAACACCTCTGGTCTCTGGAGACACCTGTGCTTGCAGAGATCTACCCACACACATACACATAATTTTAAACATGAGAACTTTTTTAAGTGTCTCAATGCTTGGTGAGGGCCCTTTTTGCTGCACGCTAACACAGTGAATGGCACGGGGCAAGAGAAGACAAAGGCTGTGTCATCACAGAGGAGAACAGGAGGAGCAAACCTACTTCCAGAAGCTCCTAAGGACATTACTTTATTCACAAGGGCAGTACCAACAGGCCTACCTTTCAATACTGTTGCACTGGAAATGAGCTCAATTCTAATGTTTGAGGGGGACAAAAACAATCAAACTACAGTGCCAACAATCTGGTCATACTTCTAGTTTTGTCTTTTTGTAAATGAAATAGAGACTAGCTTCTTTCACAAAGTATAATGTGTGCAAGTCATCCAAGTCGTTAATGTACAAATTGTCCATTGCTTTCCATTGTGAAATATTCCATTGCATGACATACCACAGTTTATCCACTCAGGCACTGACATGTGCACTTTTCTGGTTTTTGACAATTGTGAACATGTGTTCCATTTCTCTTTGGTAAATACTTAGGGTGGGGGTGCTCATTCACATGATGGCTCTGTAAGGAATTTGCAACATCCCTGGAAAATTTTCATTCCCATCAGCAGTACACGAGCATTCTAGTTGCTCTCTATCTTTGCCAGCTGGCTACTGTCAGAATTTGTTTATCTGTTACTTTACCTTTGGTATTCTAGTAGTTAGGTAATGGTATCTCATTAATTTGCATTTTCTACTAGTTAATGATGTTTATAGACTCAGTTTTTTAAATACATACTACAATTAATTCTATCTGTCAGAGGACCACATTTAATATTACAGCACTTAGCCTGATAATGGGATGAAATTCTTTCATAAACTAAACTATATCTGATATCTTTTCAGAATCATTTACCACACAAAATTTCAAATTGGCATCATAAACAATGAACATTTATGCAAAGTTTTTCAATTCATTGAGTAGAAAATGTACTCAAATTCAATTTATACTGAGATTTTGTAAATTTTTCTTAAATTAAGAAAATTAAAATCTTTTCAACTTCCTTCTACTCATCTTTTCAAAATCTTCTTTTACAAAATAGCCTAATTGTAAAAGGCATTTATTGAGTGTACATTTTGTGTTAGGAACTATACTAAGTCTTAAGCATACAAGTATTAACAAGATCCTGACCTGGAGGACTTTATATTATTATTTGTGTGTGTGTGTGTGTGTGTGTGTGTGTGTGTGTGTGTGTGTGTGTGTGTGTGTATGTATGCACTTGCACATGAGGGTGCACCATGCATGTGTGCACATGCATTTGAAGGCCAGATGTCAACATAGGGTGTAGTTCCTCAGTCAATATCTTATTAGCATGCCTGTGTGTGAGCTAGCCTGTGGAGGCACATACAGAGGCCTGTGTGTGAGCTAGTCTGTGGAGGCACATACAGAGGCCTGTGTGTGAGCCAGCCTGTGGAGGTACATACAGAGGCCTGTGTGTGAGCTAGCCTGTGGAGACACACACAGAGGCCTGTGTGTGGGCTAGCCTGTGGAGACACACACAGAGGCCTGTGTGTGAGCTAGTCTGTGGAGGCACACACAGAGGCCTGTGTGTGAACTAGCCTGTGGAGACACACACAGAGGCCTGTGTGTGAGCTAGCCTGTGGAGGCACACACAGAGGCCTGTGTGTGAGCTAGCCTTTGGAGGCACACACAGAGGCCTGTGTGTGAGCTAGCCTGTGGAGACACACACAGACGCCTGTGTGTGAGGAAGCCTGTGGAGACACACACAGAGGCCAGAGGCTGAGGCAGGGATGTCCTTCTCAGTGGCTGTCGACCTCATTTGGTCTCTCACTGTTCACCTAAACTAGCTGGCCAGCTAGCCTATGGGATCTGCATGTCTTTGCCCCTCCAGAACTGTTGTTATGGGTGTGCACCAATACACTCCGCAATTTATATGGGTGCTGGGGATTCAAACTCAAGTCTTTGTGCTTAACAGCAAAGAACTTACCCCCGCCCCATGCCATCTCCCCAGCCCTGCACCTTAGTTTCCTTTTTAAATTTATCTGACGTATCTGGGTGTTTCGAGTGCATATATGCCAGTGTACCACTTGTGTGCTAGTGCCCAGAGGCCAGAAGAGGATGCTAGATACTCTAGAACTGAAGTTACGGTGGTTGTGAGCTATCTAGGTACTGGAGAGGTGACTCAGCAGTTAATAGTACTTGTTGCTCTTGCAGAGGACTCAGGTTCAATTCCCAGCACCCACATGTTCAAGGCCAGCCTGGGCTACATACATAGTGAGTGGGAACGGGAAAAAAAAAAACCTTTAAATTCTGAAGCAGGGGCAGATAGACAGAGAGAGATGGGGAGAGGAGGTGCTGACTCTCTGCATTGCTCAGGCTGACCTCAAACTCAAGCAATCCTCCATTTCAACCTCCTTAGTAGCTGGGGCTATATACACATGCCACAGCGGCCAGTATAAAAACTATGAATGATATACAGCATGATGTCTTGACATATATACACATCATAGGATAATTAAATCAAGCTAGTTAATATAGCCATCTCATATATACATCTTTTTATATATATTAAGACTATTTAAGGGGCCAGGGAAATATCTCCACAGATAAAGTGCTTGCTGTACAAACATGAATGAGAACCTGAGTTCGGATCCCTGGCATTCACATAAAAACTGAGCATAGCAATGTCCCTGTGTAACCCTAGCACTGGGGGGTGGGGGTGGAGACAAAAGGATCCTGTGGCTCAATGGCCACCCAGACTGGCTGCAATGGTAAGCTCATGGTTCAGTAAACATGCTGTCTCAAAAAGTAAGATGGAGAAGTGATTAAGAAAGACATCGTGATGTCAATCTCTAGCCTTCACATGTATCTGCAGAGCAAGCATGCATACAAAACACACACACACACACACACACACACACACACACACACACGTACACAGGTAGATACTACACACCAAAATAAGTTGAGAGACTTTTAAGAGCTGCTCTCTAAACGATTTTCAAACACCAACTATAACCAAATAAATAGAATTATAATGCTATATCTCCATATCCAGAACTTATCCTAAAACTTCGTACTCTTTAACATCTCCCCATTTCT